GAGTCATTAGCATGTGATCAGATAATATGAATAAAACAATAAATAAATGATCATGGGTTAACACGTGACTGTCCCAGGAACCAATGTGTGTGTTAATAGGAGCTTATGTTAAAAAAAAAAATGAGACTTCTTCAAGATAAGAGATTACTGATGGATGGATGAATGAATGAATGAATGAACAAATGAATAAGATACCCTAATGTGAATGATTATCATTCTGGGACCTTCCAGCAGACATTTAATGAGACACCAAACCTTTGAACACCCTTCACATCACACCAAGTGTGTGCTCATCCAAGCAGAGAGCCACTGGAATCAAAATGAAAGCGTTCAACATAACACACTGTTCACATTGCTGTTTACACATTAACCCATGGTTTTGCTCCTATCTTTAAGGATATGCTATATTTCCAGGTGGCTGTTTTTCATAAGGATGTCTTCATCTTTTCCCTAAGTTTCTCAGATGTTTGCTTTACAGAAAGATAAATACCGACAACTCCAAGAAAGAGTAAAGCAGATAGAACAAAATAATGTTTTCAATGTCAGGTTGTAGGGGATTTAGAAATAAGATCGGTCCCAATACAGGCATTGCTTTTCTAGTTCATGTAGTCCCCATTATAGGAAATTCACATCGTTCCATCTTCATTCATCCTTCTCAGGGATTTTATTTATACTTTCCTCCCTACAGACAGCACTCATATTTATTTTATTAAAATTTCTATGAACTGTTCCTTTTCACCTGTTAGAAAATTAAGGAAAATTTATTAGCTGATTCTATGTAAGTTGCTTTAGTTCAGTTTTCATTAAGGATAAATTTGTTTTGAATATCTGTTATGACAATTATATACAGCTATACTTTCAACCCTAATGCATTTTTAATAACTTCCTTTAGCAGCTAGTGATTTGAATTTCAAATTTCTTTCTACCAAGAATTAAAAAAAAAGTCTATACCATTTTATAGCAGTTTCATATAAAAATTGATTTATGCAGCAAGATCTCTCTTACAGTAAACATATCAAATGTCTAAATGGGACCATTAATACTCATAAGCTTTACAATATGTATGTTCCAGATATAGCATAGCACAAAGTTAAAGTTGGCAAGGAAATAATTCTGTCCTTAGCTATTTTTCATAAGTTCCCCACTAAGGTTGGACACATTTCACTCATTTGATTGATTATTTTGATTTACTGCTATTGAGCACTATAGCAGATTTTAGGTCGTATCAAAATAACTGACTAATCACAAGTTTAAAGCACCTAATAATTAATAAATAGAACAATTGGGGAAATCCACACTAGTCTATTTTAAGCTATCTTGAAAATTAAGATTTTTTTTCCAATTCTGGGGATCCAAGATTTGAACTGACCATTAATTGCTCAAAGGAAAAGAGAGATTTTAAATAGGTCAGCCTTTTTCATAAAGAGATCTCCCTTTATTTACCTGACCATCTGAGGGAGCTGAGAAATTTACAGCTTTCCAAAAAAAGGATTCATGATTCTACCAATGGAAGAAGCCACGGGAAGTGATGGTTCACTTTTTGATTTTGCAGAAGCAAATGTATTCATATGTCAGGATAAAAATATCATGAACATTTGTAATTGCTATTTTGCCTTGATGGCTGGTTGTTTAGAGCTGGGACAAAATAATGCCCTCTGACCTCTGGGGTGGTGTTCTCATAGGAAGGGGCAGCCTCGGGGAAGAGCAGGACACACAGCCTCTGAGGTCCTGTCTCCTCTCCCCTTTTCAAATTTCAGTATTCTTCACAGTTTTCCTTTTGGTAACATAAACATTTCTCTCTTTAGAATTGTTAAAACTTTCAGCTGGGAAGTTCCAGTTAAGCAGTCTTGATAATTACTATAAATCTTACTGTTTAGTATTTTAACATTTATTCCACTAGCATTTCCTTTAAGGGCACTTTTCATAGTTTTCTGTCATGTTTTGGATTAGCTGTTTTGTTATTTCAGTCAAGTATCAACTTTTTTGATTTGTAACTCTTGCTAAACTTAGAATTGAAATACCTGCAAAACACCCTGAATGTCACCGTAAGGCTGGTACCGAAGTCCATGTCTTTTAGAGGAAAGAATTTTATTTTGCATTTACGAAGCTTTCACAAAGAGGCATTAATATACACCCACCTTAACATCACCATTCGGTAGATCTCCTGGGTATTTGCACTACAGTCTGGCTGCAGTTCTAACCGTTGAATGAAAACATCTATCTGAATGTACCGTAAAGAAACCTAATCTAACATGCCAAGAATGCCTTCTTCTCTTCATCACTGAAAACTGCTCCTCCACACAGGGTCCCTGTCTCTGTAACAGCATGACCACTCCTCTGTCACCCAGTCTGGAAAAGACAGCAACTCTTACTCCTCTCTCTTCCATTTCTTCTACATCCAATCAGTGAAGGCTTGTGAGTTTTACTCAAAGCTTGCTTTTAGTCTTCCCTATCTTCATGAATCGCACCATCCTCTTCTCTGTTGCTCAAATCCAAACTCAGCAATCTCCATGAGTCCTACCTACCTTTCACTAACACCCCGCATCTAATCCCAAAGGACATCCTGTCAGTGTTCACCAACCATATCCAAAACGTGTCCTTCCACCTCTAGCTCCAACACTAACATCTTCACCCAAGTCACCATCACATCTGGCCTAGACTAAAAATGGTTAACGTTTACTGCAATTTACTATATGCCAAGTAAGTAGTTATGTACTTAGCTATAAAATTTAATTCATTAATAACATCTTGTTGGATTTAATCTCATTATATGCCTATAGTACCATTTTATTCCCTACAATAACCCTTTTTGTGTTATAATCTGTTATATTATTATAATCTTAATCTGTCAGAGGAGGAAAATTAAGTTCATGGAAATTAAAGAGCGTATGCAAGTACACAGCCCTTAAATACGGATGCTAGATGCCAGAGCCTACAATCCTATCCGCTGTGTAATGTTAAGATGTTTTTTATTCCATCTTTATTATCTAGATATAATTGGCATATAACATTATGTAAGTTTAAGGTATACAAAGTGATCTTTTAATACATGTGTACATTGTGAAATGATTACTAAAACAAGGTTAGTTAGCATCTCCATCACCACTGGTTAGAGGGTAAGACGAGTAAGTTCCTGAAATCTAATGTACGGCATGGTAACTATAGTTAATGATACTGTATTATACACGTGAGAGTTGATGAGAGTCAATCTTAAATGTTCTCATTACACACACACACACAAGTGATTCAGATTCTTGATCTTTCTCAACAATCTATTTTCCAAGATGATCTTTTTCCTTCTTGAGGATTGTGCCTGAGTCATGAGCGCATGGACAGCATCCAGCCAGCACTGACCAGGGGGCAGGGGTTCTCATGAGGAATCCAGAGTATCCATGCGCTCAGTCTTTCAAAATTTTACTCACAAACTAAAGGTCACGGACTCACATTTCACAACTTTGCAGTTTTAAATTAAATCAGGTTTAAAAATATTGCCAAGATCATAACCATAATACAAAATACCAGTATAAATTTAGATTTCATATAATTCTTCATATAATTAGAATAGGCACCACTGTGCTGGTTGTCCTTTGATACCCTATCTCAAATAGTCTTCAAATGAGACATGTAATATAACATGTACTAATGAGAAAACCAAACTCCCATGAGCTACTAAGTGGCTGGACAGGAACCTGAACTTGGAATCTCTGATAGTAAGTCTATATTAATATGTAGACTACCTCAAAGAAAGTTAAAGAAATTCAAATGCTAAGCCCTCAGAGAGAGTCTCAAATATAATATAAATGATTGCTAGGTATTTGTGTAATAGAATTAGTACATTTTGTAGAAAAATCTATTTTTTTAAATAAACTTTATTTTTGAGAGCAGTTTTAGGTTCAGAGCCCAATTGAGCAGAAGGTACAGAGATTTCCCTATACCCTTCCTCCACACATGCACAGCCTCCCCTATTATCCACATCCCACAGCAGAGTGGGACGTTCATTACAGCTGATGAATCAATCTGCTTTGACACAAGATAATCACCCAAAGTCCATGTTTTACAGTAAGGTTCACTCTCGGTATTGTACCTTCTACCACTTTAGACAAATGTGTAATGACGCACATCCACCGTGATGGTGTTGTAAAGCATAGTTTCACTGTCCTAAAAATCCTCTGTGCTACATCTATTTATCACTCCCACCCCCCAACCCCTGGCAAGCACTCTATTTTTAATAAAAGGAGGAACTAGACTACATGTCACATAAAATAAACCCCACAAAATCACTACATTATTCATGGTAACTTACTCTATATTACCAATGGTGAGGAATTAAGATTCTTCACTGAGCTTATTGAGGCATTTCATCAACAGTTCACAATTCTGAGTTCTGACCATGAATTCTCTACCTAATTATCAAACACTTAACTGCATTTTGATCTTATCACTGAAGACAACTTTAGGCGGCATATTTAACATCACTCTAGGGGTATTTCCTATGTACTTTTAATCCTTAGTAAATTGATTCATAGAATGAATCAAAATTCGTAGAATGTATGGCCACATCCTGCACATCAGTGTATTTGATGACCCTTTCTTGTTAAAGCTATAAACAGCAACTACGTGCACATTAGCAGAGTCATGAGCACGGCTAACACCAGCCTCCAAAGTTTTATCTCCTAAATATTGCCCACAGTTTAAATCAAAGTAACAAATGCACAATTAACCTGAACAGAGGCAAAATGTCTACTCAGCATGTTAGGAAAAGATGTGGTTGAATTATGAGTCATCTCATTTCGCAAACTAGCAATAGGTACCACTGGCATTTGCAGCAAATGATTAAAATAAAGGAGAAAAATAACTTTTGCATTTTTATCAGAACAGGGATATTTTATACTGGTCATGCATTTTTGCCTCTGCATATTTCATCTATCAAAAGAAATGTCTCCACGAGTTGTTGCCAAGGGTCCACTTATTCCCTAGGGATTCCAAACACTGTGACTTACCTTATGAAAGTTTCTGAAATATGCTGCCTTTTCATCTGGAAATTTTTCCAGCCTTCTGGGTCCTTTACTAGAAGCCTTCTTGAAAACCAACCAGCATCGTCTGAAAATCTGAAAGCAAATGAAGGAATCTGATTATCTATCTTTTCACATGAGTTTTGTAATGCCAGGAACTTATCTATTCAATTAATCTATTGGAAAGAATTTTTTTTAAATGTACTTACAGAGAGAAGTTTTTGAGTCCTAACCAGGTTATTCATTAAAATTACACCAAACTTTTAAAAACACAATATTTAAGGGGGGGCGGAGCAAGATGGCAGAGGAGTAGGAGACCTGGATTTCGTCTGGTCTCAGTAATTCAGCTGGATAGGGATCAAACCATCTGAACACCTACAAACTCAACAGGAGATCGAAGAAAAGAAGAGCAACAACTCTCTGATTAGAAAAGCGACACTTTCTGGAAGGTAGGACGTGCGGAGAAGTGAATCCACGGCGATATTCGGAGGATAGATGACGGGGGAGGGGGCCTCCGTCGGCCGCTTCTGGCAAGTGATAGAGCCACGGAGCACAAAATCAGAACTTTTAGAAGTCTGCTCCACTGAGGGACGTTGCTCCAGTGGCTAAGCGGGGGGTGGAACCCTCGCGGGACAGTGTGGTCTCAGGACCCCCAGGGTCACAGAAAGACAAAGTGTGGCAAAGCTCCCAGGTATCAGAGCGGGGAAGCCGGCTGCAGAGACGGAGCGGAGGAGCGGGCTCTCAGCTCGGGGTTGTCATAGACCGTGATCCGCGGCACAGTTGGGCCCCTGCTCCTCCAGCAGGGACCCTACAAGCGGCAGATCCAGGGAGACTCACCTTCCTCCCCTGGGAGGAGCAGTGTGGGAGCGCACCGCAGGGATCTGCTGGGTTTGGAGATTCCACACCCAGTCGGGTGCCAGAGACAGAAACGCGCAGTCACAGGCCGGGTGAGCACGGAGTGCGGCGGAGACCGGGGAGCCGGGAGTGACTGGCGGCTTTTCTCTGGGGGCTAACTGAGGAGCGGGGCCCCGAGTTCTCGGCTCCTCCGGGGTGGAGATTGGGAGGCCGCCACCTTCACTCTCCGCCTCCAAAGCTGTACGGGAAGCTCGCAGGGAACAAAAGCCCCGGAGAGCAAACCGAGCAGATGACTTAGCCGGGAGGGGGCAAGGGCGGGGCAATTCCGCCTCCGGCAGAGACGTTTGGAAACCACGGCAACAGGCCCCCCCCCCCAAGATCAGCGAGAACAGCGGCCAAGATCAAGTTTACCGATCAATGAGAACGGCAGAACTCCAGCGCTAGGGGAATACTGCACATAGAAATCACGGCTTTTTTACCATGATTCTTTAGTCTTTCAAAGTTAATTTTTTTTTAACTGTCTTTTTTTTTTAATTTTTCTTTTTCCCTTTTTCAACCAACATCTTATCAATCCCTTTTTTAAAAAAAAATTTTATTTTTCATTTTTAGAGTCATATTCTATCCCTTCATAGTTGTTACCCTTATTTTTGGCATATATATATAAGTTGTTCTCTCTTCAAAGTTTTGAGATAGTTTCTTCTAACAGATCAAAATATACCCTAAATCTCTAGTGTATGGTTTTGTTCTACTCTCCTGCCTGATCACATTCTCTCCCCCCTTTTTTTTTGTTTTTTTAATCCTCTTTTCTTTTTTCAAACAACTTATCAATTCTTTTTATCAAATTTTTTTATAATTTTCATCTTTACAGTCATATTCCATCCCTTCACCATATCAACCCTTATTTTTGTACAAATATAAGTTTTTCTTTCTTTAAAATTTTGGGAGGTACTATCTTCTAACAGACCAAAATACACCCAAAATCTAGTGTGTGGCACTGATCTATACACCAGCCTGATCATATTTCATCATATTCTATTTTTTTTATTTTGTTCTGTTTTTGTTTGTTTTTATCATTTTCTTTTTCTTTCTTTTTTTTGCTTTTTCTTTTTTCTTTCTTTCCCTTTCTTTTTCCCCCAGCTTCAGGTCTTTTCTGATTTGTTTAGAGTATATTTTCTGGGGACATTGTTACCCTGTTAGCATTTTGTTCTCTCATTAATCTATTCTCCTCTGGACAAAATGACAAGATGGAAAAAATCAGCTCAACAAAAAGAACAAGAGGTAGTACCTACTGCCAGGGACCTACTCAATATGGACATTAGTACAATGTCAGATCTAGAGTTCAGAATCATCATTTTAAAGATACTAGCTGGGCTTGAAAAAAGCATGGAAGTTACTAGAGAAATGTTTTCTGGAGAAATAAAAGAACTAAAATCTAACCAAGTCGAAATCAAAAAGGCTATTAATGAGGTGCAATCAAAAATGGGGGTGCTAACTGCTAGGATAAATGAGGCAGAAGAGAGAATCAGTGATATAGACCAAATGATGGAAAATAAAGAAGCTGAGAAAAAGAGAGATAAACAACTACTGGATCACGAGGGCAGAATTTGAGAGATAAGCGATACCATAAGATGAAACAACATTAGAATAATTGGGATCCCAGAAGAAGAAGAAAGAGACAGAGGGGCAGAAGGTGTATTGGAGCAAATTATAGCAGAGAACTTCCCTAATTTGGGGAAGGAAACAGGCATCAAAATCCAGGAGGCACAGACAACCCCTCTCAAAATCAATAAAACACCCTGACATCTAATAGTAAAACACCCCGACATCTAATAGTAAAACTTACGATACTCAGAGACAAAGATAAAATCCTGAAAGCAGCTCGGGAGAAGAGATCTGTAACCTACGATGGTAGAAACATTAGATTGGCAACAGACCTATCCACAGAGACCTGGCAGGCCAGAAAGGACTGGCAGGATATATTCAGAGCACTAAATGAGAAAAATATGCGGCCAAGAATACTATATCCAGCTAGGCTGTCATTGAAAATAGAAGGAGAGATAAAAAGCTTCCAGGACAAACAAAAACTAAAGGAATTTGCAAACACGAAACCAGCCCTACAAGAAACATTGAAAGGGGTCCTCTAAGCAAAGAGAGAGCCTAAAAGCAACACAGACCAGAAAGGAACACAGACAATATACTGTAACAGTCACCTTACAGGCAATACAATGGCACTAAATTCCTATCTTTCAATAGTTACCCTGAATGTAAATGGGCTAAATGCCCCAATCAAAAGACACAGGCTAACAGACTGGATTAAAAAACAAGACCCATCGATATGCTGTCTGCAAGAGACTCATTTTAGAACCAAAGACACCCCCAGATTGAAAGTGAGGGGGTGGAAAACCATTTACCATGCTAATGGACACCAAAAGAAAGCTGGGGTGGCAATCCTTATATCAGACAAATTAGATTTTAAACCAAAGACTGTAATAAGAGATGAGGAAGGACACTATATCCTACTGAAAGGGTCTATCCAACAAGAAAATCTAACAATTGTAAATATCTATGACCCTAACATGGGAGCAGCCAATTATATAAGGCAATTAATAACAAAAGCAAAGAAACACATCGATAACAATACAATAATAGTGGGGGACTTTAACATCCCCCTCACTGAAATGGACAGATCGTCTAAGCAAAAGATCAACAAGGAAATAAAGCCTTTAAATGACACACCAGAGCAAATGGACTTCACAGACCTATTCAGAACATTCCACCCCAAAGCAACGGAATACACATTCTTCTCTAGTGCCCATGGAACATTCTCCAGAAATGATCACATCCTAGGTCATAAATCAGGTCTCAACTGGTACCAAAAGATTGGGATCATTCCCTGCCTATTTTCAGACCACAGTGCTTTGAAACTAGAATTCAATCACAACAGGAAAGTCAGAAAGAACTCAAATACATGGAGGCTAAAGAGCATCCTACTAAAGAATGAATGGGTCAACCAGGAAATTAAAGAAGAATTAAAAAAATACATGGAAACCAATGAAAATGAAAACACAACTGTTCAAAATCTTTGGGATGCAGCAAAGGCAGTCCTAAGAGGAAAGTATATAGCAATACAAGCCTTTCTCAAGAAACAAGAAAGGTCTCAAGTACATAACCTAACCCTACACCTAAAGGAGCTGGAGAAAGAACAGCAAATAAAGCCTAAACCCAGCAGGAGAAGAGAAATAATAAAGATCAGAGCAGAAATCAATGAAATAGAAACCAAAAGAACAGTAGAACAGATCAACGAAACTAGGAGCTGGTTCTTTGAAAGAATTAACAAGATTGATAAACCCCTGGCCAGACTTATCAAAAAGAAAAGAGAAATGACCCAAATCAACAAAATCTTGAATGAAAGAGGAGAGATCACAACCAACACCAAAGAAATACAAACAATTAGAAGAACCTATTATGAGCAACTCTATGCCAGCAAATTAGATAACCTGGAAGAAATGGATGCATTCCTAGAGATGTATCAACTACCAAAACTGAACCAGGAAGAAATAGAAAACCTGAACAGACTAAGGAAATTGAAGGAGTCATCAAAAATCTCTCAACAAACAAAAGCCCAGGGCCAGATGGCTTCCCTGGGTAAATTTACCAAACACTTCAAGAAGAATTAATACCTATTCTTCTGAAACTGTTCCAAAAAATAGAAATGGAAGGAAAACTTCCAAACTTGTTTTATGAGGCCACCATTACCTTGATCCCCAAAACAGACAAAGACCCCATCAAAAAGGAGAATTACAGATCAATATCCTTGATGAAGATGGACACAAAAATTCTCACTAAAATACTAGCCAATAGGATACAACAGTACATTAAAAGGATTATTCACCATGACCAAGTGGGATTTATCCCTGGGCTGCAACGTTGGTTCAACATCCACAAATCAATCAATGTGATAAAATATATTAACAAAAGAAAGAACAAGAATCATATGATCCTCTCAACAGATGCAGAAAAAGCATTTGACAAAGTACAGCATCCTTTCTTGATCAAACCTCTTCAGAGTATAGGGATAGAGGGTACATACCTCAGTATCATAAAAGCCATCAATGAAAAACCTACCGTGAATATCATTCTCAATGGGGAAAAACTGAGAGCTTTCCCTCTAAGGTCAGGAACACAGCAGGGATGTCCACTATCATCACTGCTATTCAACATAGTATTAGAAGTCCTAGCCA